TCATCATCATCATCATCATCAGCAGCAGCAGCAGCAGCAGCAGCATCATCATCATCATCATCATCATCGTCATCATCGTCATCATCATCAACATCATCATCAGCATCAGCAACATCATCATCATCATCATCATCATCATCATCATGATCATCATCATCATCATCATCATCATCATCATCATCAGCATCAGCATCATCATCATCATCAGAATCCGCAGCAGCAGCATCATCCTCAGCAGCAGCATCATCATCAGCATCATCATCATCAGCGGCAGCAGCATCATGATCATCATCAGGAGCATCATAATCATGATCATCAACATCATCATCATCATCATCACCAGCATCATCACCTTCATCATCAGCATCATCATCAGCATCAGCGTCCTCATCCTCATCAGCATCCTCATCAGCATCATCATCAACAGCATCATCATCATAATCATCATCAGCAGCAGCAGCATCAGCAGCAGCAGCAGCAACATCAGCATCAGCATAATCATCATCAGCAGCAGCATCAGCATCATCATCGACATCACCAACATCACCATAATCAGCATCATCAGCTTCATCAGCATCGTCATCAGCATCATCATCATCAGCATCAGCATTAGCATCAGCCTGATCATCATCAGCATCATCATCAGCATCATCGTTATCATCATCAGCATCAGCATCATCAGCATCATCATCATCGTCAGCAGCATCATCATCAGCATCAGCATGAGCAGCAGCAGCATCGGCATCATCATCATCATCATCATCATCATCATCAGCATCAACATCATCAGCATCATCATCAGCAGCAGCATCATCATCAGCAGCAGCATCATCAGCAGCAGCATCATCCGAATGAGCACCATCATCATCAGCATCATCAGCATCATCAGCATAAGCATCATCATCATCAGCATCAGCATTATCAGCATCAGCATCATAATAATCATCATCATCAGCAGCAGCATCAGCATCATCATCGGCATCAGCATCATCATCAGCAGCAGCATCAGCATCATCATCATCAGAATCATCATCATCATCATCAGCATCATCATCAGCATCATCATCATCATCATCATCATCAGCATCAGCATCAGCATCAGCATCAGCATCATCATCATCATCATCAGCATCATCATCAGCATCATCATCATCATCATCATCAGCATCATCATCATCATCATCATCATCATCATCATCATCATCATCATCATCATCATCATCATCATCATCTTCATCATCATCATCATCATCATCATCATCATCGTCATCGTCGTCATCGTCATCGTCAGCATCAGCATCAGCATCAGCATCAGCAGCAGCACCAGCATCAGCGTCATCATCATCAGCTTCATCGGCATCGGCATCAGCATCATCATCAGCATCGTCATCATCGTCCTCCACATCATAAGTTGTTTCAGTATCAGCACCATCACAATCATCATCGGAATCATCATCATCACCATCATCAGCATCATCATCATCACCATCACCAGCATCAACATCAGCAGCATCATAATCATCATTCTCATCATCATCCACATCCACATCCTCGTCCTCCTCACCATCCTCATCTTAGTCATCGTCATCATCGGCAACATCATCAGTATCAGCATCCACATCCAAGTCCTCGTCCTCCTCATCATCATCATCATCATCATCATCATCATCATCATCATCCGAATCGTCGTCATCATCAGCATCATCAGCATCATCATCATCAGAATCAGCATCATCATCATCCTCAGCATCAGCAGCATCATCATCAGCTGCATCAGCATTGTCAGCATCATCAGCATCAGCAGCATCATCATCGTCGTCGTCATCATCGTCATGATCATCAGCAGCAGCATCATCAGCATCAGCATCATCATCGGAAGCATCATTATCATCAGCCTCCTCCTCATCATCATCACCATAATCAGCATCAGCATCATCAACATCATCATCAGCAGCATCATCAGCATCAGCATCATCTGCAGTATCATCAGCATCATCATCACCACCACCACCACCATCAGCATAATCACTATCACCATCATCATCAGCAGCAGCAGCATCATCAGCAGCACATTCATCATCATCACCATCATCATCAGCTGCAGCATCATCAGCAACTTTCTCCTTCGCCTCCTCCTCTTCCTCCTCCTCCTCATCCTCCTCCTCGGCCTTCTCCTCCTCCTCCTCCTCCTCCCTTCGTCCACGTGTGGCACTGAGGAGGCTCAATCGAACCCAATTGAGGATCAGTGAAAAACTCTGGAAGCCTCTGAAGACACCCTAACAAATCTGGGACTCGTCAAGGAAAACTGCGGAAGACACCGTTCAGACACTTTGTCTGAACGGTGCTTTTCCCGTCGAATGGTGGCTCCTGCGGGACCCCGGTGAAAGTTCGAGGGCCCCCTCATGCCATGCCCAGCGGGCGAGAGGTGCCACGCTGCCTTGGCCCTGTAGACAACCAGGGTGCTTTGGGCGGCTGGGGGGAGGCAAGAGAGTTCAGGGCGGCATCACCCGACGGTGTGACTTGTTCAGCACTCGGCCCCATAGCTCCCGACCCCCTCTCGGGCCGGGCGAAAGGGGGGGATAGCAAAGGGGGGGGGGTGAGAATCAGCTCACGTAGCTGCTTTTCCCGGCGCCTCCCGGCGCCGCAGGCGGCTACGTATCGAGGAATGGGCCCCTCGGTGGGGCTGAAACCAGCTGCATGCAGCAGATTTCGTAACCCCCCCTCTCCCAATCCTCCCCTTTCGTCCGGCCCCGACCCTCCCCGGGGGCCCGGGGGCAGGTTTTCGCACCAGGCCAGATGGTGCACCGACCTGGACCTCGACAGGGGGCCCCACAGAACGAAACCGAGCGAAAACCGCCGGAACTGCAGGCAAAGGAACAGCAAATCTGGGGGACGGTCTCTTGAGCGGCACCCCCAAATCGGCGGCGAGCGAAGAGGGAACTGACAAGGAGAAGGCCTCCTCAGAAGGCGGCGGGACTTCTCAGGAGCCCTCGCGCTTTCCGATCTGTCTTCGAGGATGGCTCAGAAAACTTCTCTGAAGGCTTGGGGGACTTCCGAGCCGTCTAAAAATGAAGGGGCCCCAGGACACACAAATAAATAAACACACAAAAAATCCGCCGACCCTGTCGGCGTGTGTGAGTGGCTTCTCTGTTCGACTCGTCGTCTCCGTCGTCTCCGTTCTCCCCCTCCCAGGGCTCTCCTCCTCAAGCGCGCTATCCAAAGCGAAATTAAACGACGTCGTAGTGGAATCGAAGGGAAGCCCCTTCCCTTTGATCCCTTCCCCGCAGGGGGGTGGGGGGGGAGGGGGGGGGAGCCCGGGGCAGATACGACGCCCGCCGGGGCGCACTTTCCTCGAGCGGGCACGCACGGGATGCACTCCTCCTCCTCCTGGTCCTCCTCCTCCTCCTTTTCCTCCTCCTCCTCCTCCTGCTCCTCTCCTCCCTCCTCCTCCTCCTCCTCCTCCTCCTCCTCCTCCTCCTCCTCCCGCAGAGGCGTCCCGGGAGCGGGCCCCGAGTCAAAATACCACCCCCCTAGGGCGCATTTTCCTCGAGCGGGCACGCCCGAGATGCACTTCTTCCTCTTCCGGGAGCACGTCCCAAGTCAGAATATCACACTCCCGGGGCGCACTTTCTTCGAGCGGGCACACAAAGGATGCACTTCCTCCTCCTCCTCCTCCTCCTTCTCTCCTCCTCCTCCTCATCCTCCTCTCTCCTCCTCTCCTCCTCTTCTCCTCCTCCTCCTCCTCCTCCTCCTCCTCATCCTCCGCTTCCTCCCCCCACTCCTCGCCCTTTCGATCAGGGTCGGCGGCACCGGCCGTCAGGCCTCTCCAATATTCCCCATACATTCCCATATTTTCTGGGTTTTTGTCTTCCCCCCCCCTTCCCATATTTTCCCATATTTCCTGCGGGATCGACGATTAATTGTGTCTGTGTGTTTTTGTTCCCTCCCTCAACACACACAAAAAAAAACGCCTCTTCCCACTTCCCCCCCCCTCACTCACCGCCGACAAACATCTCCCATTGCGACTCCCGGCCAGCCTCGAGCGGGACCGGGGCCGCTGCGGCTGGGGGCTGCGCCAGCCGCGGAGCTGCCGGGAGCGGTCCTGCACCCGCGCGCGCGCAGGAAGGCAGGCTGGAGGAAGGATGGAGAGCAGGGCCGAGCAGGAAGAAGAAGAAGAAGAAGAAGAGATGCATCACCCGGTGACGTACCGGACCTATCTGCGACAAGTGGCCGCAGTGCTAGGTCCTTTGCCGTGCCGATGGTGGCATGACAACGGGTGCAACATGTTGCGAACGAGAGGGGGGGGGGGCCTTTGCGCGCTGCATGCCTTACGGGACAAGTTTGAGTGAGGCAGGGTCTCACCGCGGAACATCCTGGGACACCACGAGAGGTGGAGACCGTTGCGTAGTTTTCAGCGAGGTACCGTTTGGATCTGAGCCCACTGGACCTCCCAGGGGCCCACCGTCACGAAAGTGGAGGCACTTGCACAGTGGCCAGCTCCCCCGGGAGGGCAAGGGACCCGCTTGGGAGCTACGCAGGTCACCACTCCACTGGAGCTCGCGGGGCCACACGCGAGCTGCGGCAGCTGCGCAAGCGGCAGCCCCCAGGGAGGGCGGGGCCCCGTTTGGACCTGCGTCGGACACCACCCCGCCAGGCCTCCCGGGCGCGCAGGGTGCCAGCCCCCACGGAGGGCGAGGTCCCGCTTGGACCTGCACAGGGCACCACTGCGCTGGACCTCCCGGCGGGGGCAGCGGCGACAGCCGCGCAGCTCCCAGCCGCCCGGGGAGGGCGAGGCCGCATGCGGATCGAGGCGGGACGCGGCTCCACTGGACGTGGCAGCCCTCAGCGAGGGCACGGTCCCGTTCGAGTCTGCGCCAGACGCGTAGGGGGACACCACTCCACCAGACCTCCCAGTGGGCCCAGGAAAATGGGGACAATTGCGCAGCTGATCACCCACAAGCTCACACATTCACCTCGCGCACTCAGTCATGCGCGCATACGTTCAGCTCAGCACTATATATTCATATTGAGGACGTCTCGAACGGGAACCTCATCTGTGAACGGATTGCGAGGAAGTCTCAGGCGGGAGCCCCCCTCCCTGTATGCCCCCCCGGATCACGTTACCAATCCGAGGGAGTCGTCCAACCCCGCAGCTGCGGTCACGTCCGGCTTCCTGGGCACTGAACATGGAGGCGGTCTCGAGCGGGAGCTCCATCTGCCATCTGTGAGCCAATTGCGAATACATCATGGGCGGGTGACCCCCTCCGTAGAGGGCCCCCAAGATCATGCTACAAATCCGAGGGGATTATCGAAACTCTGTAAGTATCCTCACCTGAGGGGTCCTGCGGACTAAATCTGGAGGATCTCTCGAGCGGGAGCCTCATGTGTGAGTGAAATATGATAAATCTCAGGCGGGAGCCCCCGCCTCATAAGCCCCCCAAGTCACGGTACACGTAGTGGTTCACCAACCACTGAAACTGTTACGATTTTTGGGCTCCTGGAGACTGCCTCTGGAAGACGATTCAAGCGGGAGCTAGAACTGTCAGCGCATTGTGAAGAAGTCTCGGGCGGGAACTCCTCCCTATAGGGCCCCCCCAGACAACGCTACCAATCACAAGGAGACATCCCAAACCTGTCACTGTCGTCACCCTGGGGCTCCTCAGGACTGCTCGAGCAAGAGACTCCCTATAGGACGAGGCAGGCGGAGGAGACAGGAAAATATAGAAGAGCATGAAGAAGAGGACAAGGAGGAAAGGGAGAAGGAGGAGGAGGAGGAGGAGGAGGAGGATACGGAAGGGTCGCGGGGAAACCGGGGGAGGAGGATGGGGGGGAGGGAGCAGACGGGTGTGGCGAACGAAGGGGATCAGGGCCACGCCAGCGACGAGAAGGTCGAGGAGCTTCAGCGGCGACGTGCTCATGCCGGTTGAGGCGGCGACTGCGGAAGACCGGCTCCACAAGCCAAGATAGCCCCAAGACGGCCCCAGAAGCCGCCAACAGGGCCCCAAGACGAGCCTGGGGCACAAGCGCACCCAAGACGGCCCCCAAGACGGCACCCAGAGGGCCCCAAGACGACCTCCAAGACGACCCTAAAGCGTCCCAAAAAAAAGCCCCACGACAGCCTAGAGGTGCCCCAAAAGACGGCCTCCGAAGGCAAAGAGGACCGTTTACATAAAAAGACCCCGAGAGGTCCCTGAAAGATCCCAATAGGCCTCAAGAGGCCCTCAGGCCCACAAGAGGCCCCCAGGAGACCTCCTTGTCTTCCTCTTCCTCCTTCCCATCCCTTCAGAGTTGTACGCAATATGAATACTACTCTCCCATGTCCCCCCGAAGAGGTACCAAGAGTGGCGCGTTCCTCTCCGCGCACCTGTTTTGCACATAAGATTGGTACGAGTTGGTTTTCTTGTGCATTTTCAATCCGACAATTTTCGGTCCTCTTAGAATGGTTCTCCCGCTGCAATATGGGCATCAGCTTCAGACCCGCGCATTCCTGAAGTCGCTCCGAATTGCGTTTTCGCCCAAGTACGAGCCACTTTTCTGAATGCGAGACCTTCCTCATCGCTGTCTCCCCGCTCCTTCCCCCCTCCGCCTTTGTCTGGACCTCCTTCTCATCCTCCTCATCCTGCTCGTGGTGCTCGTGCTGCTGCTGCAGTTCCTCCTCGTCCTCTTCCTCCTCCAACATCATCATTCTCAGATTCCTGCTCATCCTCCAGGCTAATCCGCCACTTCCTCGTCCAACAGCGCATAACACGAATGGTTTATCTAGGGTGGGTCGAGAACCGTGTGTCAATCGTCGACGGGTACAGAAGAAATCAGCGCAATGGGAAGTTATGGGTGGGAGGGGGCGGATATCAGATGCGGCGCAAGGGCATCTAGATTGCCTCCGCCTCCTCACTCACATTTCACCCCAGTGTGCCCCAATGGGGTATCCACAACGGATGGGGGAACACGTAGTCCAATAGCTTGACCAAACTTCGTCGCAGCCTGTGGCCGCACAGGCGTTTCCAACAGGCAGGGGCGGCGGTGGTTCGCCGCAGGCTTTCTGCGTATAGAGACAACGAATACAGCACACACCTATGCATGTACAGATCTGTACATATACATACATCTACATATTTATTTCTATACATATACATATAGATATGTATGTATGTCTGTCTGTCTGTCTGTCTGCCTGTCTGTCTGTCTGTCTGTCTGTCTGTCTGTCTGTCTGTATGTATGTATGTATGTATGTAAGTATGATGTATGTATGATATATATATATATATATATATATACATGTATATCTACATGTCTAATATGTATACGTGTTGCATTCGGAGGTCCACGCTGACGTCTTGGGGCGGCGCGGGCCCCCCCCCCCCTGGCGGCGGGCCTCGGGGGCCGCTCCTGGCACGCCCCCGGCGCGCCGGGGAGGGCGCTCGGGGAGGGGGGCACGGGGCCCCGACCCAGGAGAGCTCCGCGCAGGCCTCCGGACGTGGGTGCCGACGCGGCGCCGCCCTGCTCTGCTCTTGAAGGGGCCCTGGGACACACAAATAAATACACACAAATAAAACTACTCCCTATATTTTCCCATAGTTTCAGGGTTTGCGTCTTCCCCCCCACTTCCCATATTTTCCCATATTTTCTGGGGCATCGACAATGGATTGTGTCTGTGTGCTTTTTTCCCTCCCGAGCTCCGGCAATTCCCCCCCCACACACGCCGTCCTCGAGGAGACCCCATCGCCACTCCTTCAAAACAGGGCGCGGCTGGCGGGCACCTGCAGGGCGAGCCCTCCGCAGGCGCAGCGCCTGCGAGGCCGCCCCCGCGCGCGCGAAAAAACCGGCACAGGCTGGCGGAGCAGACCGCGCCGCCTTGGAGGCAGGCCGGCGGCGCGCACGAGGCCACGGCAGGGCCCGCCCGCGCAGGGAGGGGGTGCGCGGCGAGGGCGCCGGGGCCCTTTGGAGTCCTCGGAGGGCCCTGCAGACGTTTTTCGGGCGAGGCTGGCCGGCGGAGGTCGCCGAAGGAGGGGCCGAAGGGGCAAGGATGCAAGGGCAGCCTTGGGGAGGTGCTCCTCCTGACTGCGCGGGCTGGCCGTGCACGAAGGGCACCCGTGCACAGCACCAGCACGCCTGACCAGGACCGTCCTGGGCCCTGGCCGGCTCTCCTGGCCAAGGCGGCCACGAGGGTCTGTACGCCATCCTGGAGCCCAAGACGGCGATGGCCAGGCACAGTGGTGCTGCGCATTCCGGGCGACGGGGGCGACCTTCTGAGGAGGCTGCGGATTGGGCGTTGCTTTCTGGGGGGCGATAAATGAGGGTGGAAGCAAGGTGCACTTCTCGGGCCCTGAGGGCCACCTTTGGGGCCCCAAAGAGCCCCCTGAGGGGCACTGAAGGGCCCCTTTGCTGCAGCCCTCGCTGCTCCCCCCCCCTTTGTCGCCCCCGACATCACTCGACGCCCGAGGGGAGCTTCTCAGATAGGCTCTGCAGGCTTCTCAGAAGGGATCGGAGCCAGAGTTAGGTCGGGCATGTCCCCCCACTGGCGGATTTTGGGCGGACCAAAAAAAAAGCAAACAAATAGTCAAGCATTGGGGAAAAAAAAAAAAAACGTCCCCATACTATCTTGGGACCATTTGGGGAAATTCCTCCTGTACAGGGACAGGCCCGACGTAAAGCCAGAGGCCAAAGGCCTCCCAGCGGGGACACGTTCCGGGGCGTCCCCGTCTAGACTCCAGGAGGGCCGCCGCCGCCCCGCGCCGCCCGCCCCCTCGGCGCGCCGCCACGCTCGGAAAACAAAGGCGGAGGAGCTCTGGCGGGAGCCGGGGCCGCCTAGTAGGTGTAGCCCTTGACGTACATGCCCTCCGCCGCGGTGGCATCCTCCCGCGGGGCAGCTGCAACATCACACGCTCTCACGGCTACCGGTGGCCATCGAAAACCTGAAGCATGCCCACGTTCTCAGTTGCGGCTGGCTGCTGGTGGCCAGCACACGCTCGTATGGGCCAGCCGTGAGAACGTGAGATGCTTTTTATGGCCGCCGGTCCGCCGAGCCCCCGCTGGGGGACCCAGAGCGTGAGGGGCGTCGACTGGACTGCCGCCCTGTAGGGGCCCTGGGACACACAAATAAATACACACAAATAACAGGATTCCCATGTTTTCCCATATTTTCTGGGTTTTTGTCTTCCCGCCCAATTCCCAGATTTTCTCACACTCTCTGGGGAATCGACGATTCATTGTGTCTGTGTGCTTCTTTCCCTGCCGCCCTGCGCTCTCGGTGTGCCGCCTTAGTGCCCCGCGCGGCCCTGGCCGCTCCAGGCCTCTCTCCGCTCGGGCGGTCTGCCCGGGGGGCCCGCCCGCCCAGCAGAGCCGCCCGGCCGGGGGGGGGTCCCCTCGGAGAGTCCTGGCCGCTCTGCGCGGCCCCAGGGTGCTCACCGTAGGGGGCCACGTGCGAACCCTGCCCCCTACCCCCCACGAGTTCTGAGGGGGAGGGCGGGGTTCACTTCGCTCGGGAGCTTCCGAACGAAGTGAACCCCACCCTCCCCCTCAGAAATCATGGGGGGTAGGGGGCAGGGTTCGCACGTGGTCCCCTATCATCGGGCTCGGGCACGCGGCCGAGAAGGCCCAGCAGGGCTCGCAGACGGCCCCGGGAGGCTCCGAAAGAGGGCTCGGAAGGGCCGAAGACGGCCGAAGACGAGAGCCCACGATGCATCCAAGAGGACCCAGGAGGGCCCCGAGACGCCCCCGCTAGGGCAAACAGCATTGAAAAAACAGAGTGTTGAACATGTTGGCTGCCTGCCCCACGTTTTGCACCCAAGATGTCCAGAGTTCACTTCAAGACGGCCCCCTGGCTTACGCGGGCCGCCAGCGCGGCACGACACATTTGAAGCAAGGGCGCTCACGCGCGACCCTACGCAGGCAGCTTACGCGGGAATGTCGGCGCAGACGAGCCGGTTGTTCTGCTTCGCTCACCTGGAAATGGCCCCCGAATTCGGCGTTTCGACATTGGGCGGCAAGGGAGGGGGGAGGGGGGGGAGCTCCAGACCTCTGCTCAGTGCGACTGTTTGCAAGAGCGCGGCCTCTGGGGGAGACTCCACCCGCTCGAAACAGGCGCCAAAAGACGGCCAAGATCTACTCCATGGGGGGAGGGGGGGGCCCGCGCCGATCGGCAAAGCAATGAACAAAAAACGATCGAACGATCGCGAGGCCCCGAGGTGCTGCGCCGTGCACCTCCAAACTGCTCCCGCACAGCCAACGGGAGGTGGCTCGGCCTTCGGGGCCAGCGGCGGGGGGGGCGCAGCACACACGCCCAGTCGGACGTCCGCGGGCGGGCTCGCCGCCAGCGCCAGACCCCCCCCCCCCTGTGTTTCGGCGGTGGACAAACCTCCCAGCAGTAAACCCTCCCTTCAATGAAAACGGCCTGGGGCCGCAACCGACGGACCTGGACCCGCAAAAATGACGGCCGCGACGCCCTCTCGCGAACCGAAAACGGCCAATTCGCTAATCGACGTGTCAGGGTAGGAGGCCTGTCCACCCCCGACTATTCTGGAGGAAGGAAAGGGGTATGGTATAAAGGGGTGTGGTGTTAATCTCATGTAAAGGGGACTCTGGCGATGTCAGTCATCGCAGATAGCATGGCAATTTCCACGGTTCGCACCATGCCCCTTCATGCCATACGCCTTTCCGACCTCCAGACCTATAGGCGCTCATGGGGTGCGGGGAGGGGGTCCAGCGCCGCGGGCATCCGAAGGCTCTGGCCTCTGGAGGCACCGAAAGGGCCCAAACGTCCAAAAAGATTTCGAAGCTTGTGTTTGCGAAATGGTGCGATGTTCTGGCCATCCATTCCTCGTTGGCGGTGGCCGGGTCGTACTCGCCCTTCTGCGCCTTGGAGTTCGCCGAGGCACGCTGGAAGAGCTTGGACTGCGCCGCGACCTTGTTGTCGTCGCTGCCGGCCCAGGTCTTCAGCGTCGTGTTCTGCAGGGCGCGGGCGTACGAGAAGGAGACGTGCCACGGGTTCGGCGACGTGTTCATGGCGTTCAAGTTCTCGGTCGCCTGGATCTCAGACTGGCCGCCCGACAGGAAGAAGATGCCCGGCACCGCGGGGGGCACCACGCGCCTCAGCGCGCCGAGGGTGTACTCCGCCACCGTCTTCGGGTCCGCTGTCTTGCCCGACTGGGCGCCTGGCGTCACCATGGAGGGCTTCAGGTAGACCGCCTCGAGGCACACCCCGAAGTCGGCGCAGGCCTTGAAGACCGCGGCCCAGGTCTCCTCGAACGTCTCGAGGCACTCGTCGATGTCGTGCTCGCCGTCGAGGAGGATCTCGGGCTCGATAATGGGCACCAGGCCCGACGACTGGCAGATGGCGGCGTAGCGCGCGAGGCCATGGGCGGCCTCTGCAACAGCGATCGAGGAGTGATCGCGCACGCGCACGGTGGTGCGCCACTTGGCGAAGCGCGCGCCCGCCTTGTAGTAGTCGACGGTGCGCTCCTTCAGGTCGTCGAGGCCGCGGCACCAGTTCTCACCCTCCTTGCCGCCCGTGAGGGGCACCAAGCCTGTGTCCACCTTGATGCCTGGGATCACGCCGTTCTCCTTGGCGAGGGCCGTCATCTTCTTGCCGTCCGTGGTGTCCTGGTAGAGAGTCTCCGTGAAAAGGATGGCGCCGCCGCAGAAGTCCCCGAGGCCCTTAGTGCCGAGCAGCGTCTCGCGCCAGCGCTGGCGGTTCAGCTCAGTGTTCTCCACGCCGATCGACTCCAGGCGGAGGCCGCACGTGCCATTGCTCTCGTCCATGGCGAGGATGCCCTTGCCGGGCGCCGTCATCGCCTTCACGGTGGCCAGCAGCTCGTCCTTGTACTCCGCGCAGTGCGACCAGGGGTCCGAGGACGTCCCGACCTGCGCAGGAAGCTGCGACAGTCAATCCGCAGAACAAGGATGCACGACAAGGATGCAAGGGCCTTGGCAGGCCATGTCATCCCTTGGCGGGCGGGGCGCGGCCAGCGAAAGCGGGCCGAAGGGGAAGGATGCAAGGGTAACCTTGGAACGTCGCTGATCCTTACCATGCGGGTTGACCATACAGTCGGGCCGCTGAAAGAAGGAACGTAAATAAGGAACGAAGCCCCTTCTTGGCCCTGTAAGAAGCGCCTCCGTGCCCCAGGAGGGCAAGAGGAACAGCACTGGAGGAACCTAAGGAACATCGAGCCCCTTCCGAACCCAAACTGTCCCTTACTGCAGCGTCTTGACTGTATGCACTGCCGCCATGCATGGCCAGGGCCAGCCAGGGCCCTGGCATGGTGCATGGGCACGCCCTGGCGGCCGAGGACTCGAGGGCCCGCTCGCCATCACAAGGCCCAGGGATGGCCCCGGCCAGGCACGAATTGAGATGAGGAGGACACGTAAGGACGAGGAGGGCGGATGAGTTCGACGAGGAGGGGGAGATGGAGGAGGAGGAGGAGGAGGAGGAGGAGGAGGAGGAGGCTGAGGAGGAGGAGAAGGAGGAGGACGACGGCGAGGAAGAGTAGGAGGAGGAGGAAGAGGAGGAGGAGGAGGAGGAGGGTCGAGGCGAGCCCCCTGCGGACGACCTGCATGGACACCACGCGCTGGCCCTTCTTCGCCTTGCGCGCCCCCGCCCGCGACACCGCCGCAGCTCCCACGGCGGCGGCGGCGAGGCCCGAGAGCGTGGACGCCGCCGGGAGGCCCAGCGCCGCGGGCGCGGCGCTGCGCGGGGCCTCAAAGGCGGCGGCGCCGCGCAGGGCGGCGGTCTGCGCCTGCGGCTGCGCGGGGGCGACAAACGCGAGGGCCATTGCCCGAGGCTGCGCGGAAGCCGCCTGTACACCACCGTGCCTGGCCAGGGCCAGCCTCAGGGGGACAAAAAGTAGCATAAAAACAAAAAAAACTGAGGTCCGCGCGGACCTCCGAGTTATTTTTCGTGTTTATGCCACTTCTCGTTCCCCTAAGCCTGGCCCCTGGTATGGCGAGTCCGCCCTCCTGGCCAGGGCCAGGAGGGCTGCCGCACCATCCCGGGGCGCAGGGCGTCCCCGGCCAGGCAAACGGCGCTGGTGCAGAGGTGCCTCCGGCGGGAGCGGCTTTTTACCCGGCGCTTCGCCGCGCGGGGACCGGGAGGCTCGAGCCGCGCTGGATGCCGAAACAGCTCGAGCCGTAATGCAAACAGGAGGAGAGTAGAAGGGGGGGGGGGGGAATGGAGGAGTGGGGTGGGAATGGGGGGTGGAGGAAGCGAGGGGGGAAGGAACAGGAAGAGGATCGGCGGGGAGGACGGAGAACGACAGGGAGCGAGGGAGGGCGGGAGGTGAGGTTGGAGACGAAAAGTGCGAGAATGACCAGAGTAAGTCCACAGCGCATCAGCAATGATACAAGACCCTGAGCTATTCTGTAACCACGGGAAGCGCCCACTTCAAAGCCGAGCGTCGCATCGGCAGGTCATGCAGGCGAGAGCCCAATGTTTTAAAACCCGATCTCACTAGACAAACGCCACATGGAGCGGCAATTCAGGCGAATGCCCATTGAATTACTATACATAAATGTCCACATGTGGGGTCGTGAAGTTCTAGAATGTGTTGAGCGAGAGCCCAACTTGGACGGTACGTTGCCCGCCATGCGTCTAAGTGTTGCACGTCTCAAAACATGATGAACCTGCACAAGTCTCCAGCGAAAGTCCATCCCGCATGTCCGTCACAATGCCAGTGGCACGATGGGCGTGTTAGAATGCTTGCCTGTTGTCTGGGTACGGCCGGATCTAAGACAGAAAAACATCCTCCAAGAACATCAGACCCTCCGCCGGCCAAAACACTCCAAACCGTAAGATCACTCGAGGGTACCCTCCCCCAAGACGCACAAAAACGTCACACAAACACGTAGAAAATTAGCGCACTCTCCCCGAACCGACCTCGACCTTACACCTCGGTGCGACCGTAGGGTTGTTCCCGTGCTTGATAGGGCCAACCAACCCTCCCTCCTCATCGCACGCGTGCTCTGAAAATCCCCCAAAACCGATTCCCAACGACTCCAAGTGAGCCGACCGGGGGTGGTATCCTGGCCCCTGGTCCGTCTCCCCTCATCCTCCCTTCCTCCTCCTCCTCCTCCTCCTCCTCCTCCTCCTCCTCCTCCTCCTCCTCCTCCTCCTCCTCCTCCTCCTCCTCCTCCTCCTCCTCCTCCTCCTCCTCCTCCTCCTCCTCCTGCTCCTCCTCCTCCCCCTCCCCCTCCTCCTCCTCCTCCTCCTCCTCCTCCTCCTCCTCCTCCTCCTCCTCCTCCTCCTCCTCCTCTTACTATTATTCGTTGTTCTAGTCTTCTTATGAGTGGTATTAGTATCATTGTTAATATTATTATGTTTCTTATGTTTAGTAGCATCATTGCTAATAGTGCTAACATACTTATTATTAGTAGTATTACTAGTACGATGTTTATGATTAGCATTCGCATTATCATTATTGTTAGCAGTAGTATCCGGCTAACTTTTCTTAGTAGTATTACTTTCGTTGCCGGGTTATTGTGAATGGTTTGCGTATTCGTATGTTTCTTACGATGAGTAGGATTCGCATTCTTATCGTTATCAGGATTCGGATTATTCGCAGTATCACACTTATTCGATTATAACGATTAGTACGATTAGCATTATTATTCTGCTTATTATTCTGCCTGAGTAGTGTTGATGTGATGCGTCTTATGATTAATGTTGAGGTTCGTCTTTCTCGTCGTATGTTCTTCCGAGTATTCAAAAATGCGTAATATTAACAATAATGTTATTCCTCCTCCTCCTCCTCCTCCTCCTCCTCCTCCTCCTCCTCCTCCTCATCCTCTTCCTCTTCCTCTTCCTCCTCCTCCCCCCCTCCCCCTCCCTCCCCTCCCCTCCTCCTCCTCCTCCTCCTCCTCCTCCTCCTCCTCCTCCTCCTCCTCCTCCTCCTCCTCCTCCTCCTCCTCCTCCTCCCTCCTCCTCCTCCCTCCTCCTCGTCCTCCTCCTCCTCCTCCTCCTCCTCCTCCTCCCCCTCCCCCTCCTCATCCTCATCCTCATCCTCCTCCTCCCCTTGTGTTTTCGCCCTACTGCCTGCTCGGGGGGGGGTCAGCCAGCGCCCAGGGGGACCAGGAGCGAGAGGAGCCCGTCCTTTGCCTCGCTCATCGCCTCGTTCAGGCGCAGCATGGCCTCTGACGAGGGCGCCGCCGGATGAAACGGGGGGCGAAGAGAGGGCAGAAGGGCGCAGGGGAGAGGAGGAGGAGGAAGAGGAGGAGGAGGAGGACGAGGACGAGGAGGAGGAGGGAAGAGGAGGAGGCGGAGGAGGAGGAGGAGGGGGGAGGGGGGGGAGGAGGAGGAGGAGGAGGGAGGAGGAGGAGAGAGGAGGAGGAGAGGAGGAGGAGGAGGAGGAGGAAACGGGGATACATGAGGATACATCCGAGCACACCAGGGGGCGTGTTCGAGCGAGGCCAACTGGATTTTAACTCTCCTCCATTTGTTTGTGGCGCTTGCGGGAGCAGCTGTAGGCGCCGCGGCTGCAACATACCCGTCCACGTCCATGCCGTGGGTTGCCGCTCGCACGAATTCGGTCAATCCGTCGCGCCCAGCGTGAGCGCGCGTGAACTGTCCTGTCGATATTGGCGAGATTCGCTCGCCCTTTCGTCGTGATGCCCGTGCTAATCGCGGCGACATGGGGCGGGTCTGCAGTTGTCGCCTTGCCGCATTCACGGCAGAAGTACAGGCAGTACTGCTGCATAATAAACAATTGCAGCCCGTGCCGGCGAATCGTTACGTTGCCCTGCACTGGCACCATTTGCTCGCTGGCGGTTGGCAGGGGCGGCTGGTAATGGCAGGGCGTCGCACACGCCTGCCGCACTTTACGCTAGTCGGTCGTGAGTCCGCAGCAGGTGCATGTGCACTTGCCTGCGCGGAGCTCGAAAGCATGCTGACTGGACTGCATGACCGCACGGCTATCTGAAGCTCGGTGAGGCGCGGGCCCTTGGTCTGCGAGGGTCGCTCGGCCGCCCAGGGGTCTACTGCAAGCGCGTCGGCAAGTGCCCCGCGCGCCCTCCTTCGGACGAGGGCGCACAGGGCGTCGTGCTTTCCGCGGGCGGGGCCTGTCCTGCGATCGCTGCCTCGTAAGAAATTTGGGCTGTTACTCCTGCCCGCGCGTCTGCCGATGCATTGCCTACAGCGCAAAAGCCTCGGACATGGTCGGAGGCCAGGCCAGGTGCACCCCCGCTGCGCGACGGCGCCCAGATCACCGCGAGCGCGCCGATGCCACGAACACGCATTGCCTTAGCAACGCGCACTCGCAAGTCTTGGTTCGCGTCCTCGCCTGGGCGCAGGCGTCGGCTCAACTACCACCCGTCGTAGAGAGGCACATGATTTGCGACGAGCAGTGATCGCCGGGCCAGATTTCGAGCGCGAGTGCACAAACGCCAGAAGCTCTGCAATGGGCACAGTTTGAAAGGGGCCCTGCAGGCCCGACAGGACGCCTCCCCAAGGGAGCTTCCCGAAGAGGCTCTTCATTGCGACGCAGGCTGCCCCAACTCTTCGGCGAAACTGACCTCCTACCCGTCGCCGAACAGAGCGAGGGCCCCATCGCTGCTCGCGCATTCCCCCCAGCCCCGCCCAGCCAAGCTCCACCCGCCCCCCCCCCCCACCACCACCACCACCACCACCACCACCACCACCAAAGTAGCAAAGACAGAGCGCGCGCCCGCGCGCGCAGGCAGGCCGCGGAGCCAGCGCGCGGGCGAGGGCTCGGCCACAGCAAGGGCAGAGGGCAGGAGGGATCACGGCCGCAGGGGCACAGCCAGATCCCGTGCACGAGCCTCTCGTCGGAAGACCCACAGCGTGGACGGGTCTCGCGCACCTGGCACCCCGTCTCCACAAGGCGCCCCCTGGGCCACTGCGCCCCCGCAACCACGCATAGGTTCGGGACCCACTGATCGCACGGGCCCTTTATGCTGAACTTCTCCGTGTCGCGCGCAATGACGTGGACGCCTGGGCCTCCACGTTGCAATCCCTCGCCGCGTAGATGTTCGGCCGCGTCCCTCCACAGGCCCTTCTCGATCGACTGGCAGAACTCGTGAACGAACTCCGCAGGGTCCACGTCGCGTCGCGCCTCTCCCCAGTCTGGTCGACGTCTGCGTGGCAGGTGCCATTATTGAACTTCGGTCTCTCTCCTTCCATGGTGGGCGAGACCACTCGCGCGGCGTCGGGCACATCCATCCCGCGTCTGTGAGAATGACCTGCGTGGCTGAGATGGGCCCGAGCACCTTTCTCCACTTTTGCTGCCACGTGATCGTCCTGTCGTAGAGGAACTTCCACGCCTGCGTGACCCGCTTGTGGTGTTGCCTAGGTTGTTGAACCAGATACTGAGCCACTTCGTGATCGACTGACGCCTCAGCTCGATGGCGGGTCCTTCTGTCCCAGTACTGCGGCCAATGCGGTGGATAGGCAGCGCCCTGGCACCTCCCCAGCTGTGGCCTGGATGGCCTGGCGCCTCTGCACCAAAATGGCCGCTGTGGAGAGACCCGTGATCCGGCGGCCGCAGGTGCCCTGGGGTCTCGAGCCCGTGGTCCACAAGACCTTCGCAATCTTGGCAAGGGAGGCGCCCTTCTGGACCGTGATAATGCGGTCTGTCCGTCGCTCGGCTGCGCTGGCCCCCTTGGCGGCCTCGGCAGCGACCCTCCGCTCGGCGCCGCCCGCGTCGATGCCGAGGTCGACGGAGGCGTTCGCCACCTTGATGGAGTAGCCTTTCTTCGCGAGGCCGACGTGGGCCGCGAGGGCGGCCGTCTGGCTGGAGGCGACGACGGCCGCCTGGGAAGAGACGCGCAGGCCTGCTTCCGCCATTCCAGCACAGAGGTCCGTCGCCACCCCGATCAGGCCCCTGATGACCTGCTTCGTCTGCCCCATCCGCACTGGCCACCGCGTCGCCCACGAAGGCCCACAGGCCCGCGCGGGCATAGTCGAGGCGGGCCCTCTGGAAAATGGGTCCGAGGTAGACCTTCGCCAGCTTCCCGCAGTTGCAACTGTCCGCCACGATGGGCCGCTGCGCGTCGATGAGGTCGCTGACCCAGCCGCGCATGCGCAAGTACCTGGGGGCCAGGTAGAGGCGCACCCCAGCGCCGCGACGATCGGGGGGAACTTCACCCCGATGGCGGCCTCGAAGAGGAGCGCGAAGCAGACCGAGTCGTAGAACTTCTCGACGTCCATGAGGAGCGCGGACAACGCGACACCGAACGTCGCGGCCGTCTCGTCGAGCAGGGCCCTGACGAGCGCCGCCCTGAGCCCTGAGCGCGCTGGACCCCTATGGCGGCGCCCCAGAACTCCGCCAGCCCATCGGACCACTCGCCCGCGATGCTGGAGCGGAGCTTGGCCCAGGTCTCGGGGATCGCGGGCAGCATGCGCAGGGCCCCCGCAGGCTTGGAAGCCATGGCTCCGACAGTGGCGCAGAGCTGCTGCGGCCACAGGCCGCTCTCCACCACGTTGTAGATGTTGGCGAGCGCCTGGATGCCCCAGCGCGGGAGTCCCCGGATGTCCACGGGGCCGATGTTGTCGACCCCTCTCGCCTTCCTGGGGCCCGCGCTGCCGACGACGGCCTGGACGCGCTGCGGCTCGATGGTCGGGGGAGGGTCCTCCTTCGCAAGCTTCATGGCCTTCTCGCACGCGTAGATGATCTTCTCCTCGTTGTAGTGCTCGGACTGCCAGATGTCGCGCCACGTGTCCGCGGCTGCGTTCATGACCAGGCGGGGGCCCCCCACGGTGGTTCGATACGTCTTGCCCCCCAAGCGCTGCGCCTCGAGGTCGGCGACGGCCCGACGCAACTTGCCAAAGGGGGCCCTCGCAAGCTTGCTTCGCCCTGTCGAGGCATCGCTTCCGCGCCCTGCCCGCTGCCCTGGCCATGGCCTTGCGCGCCCGCGTCTAGGCGGTGGCGCCGAGGCGGTGCAGGTCGCCCTCGTCTCAGAACTCGAGAGTGGCGATCTGGGTCTTCCACTCGTCGATATCCTGCGGGTCCGTTTTGCTGCCGAGGTGATCCTTCTGGAACTCTGGGTTGTCCAAGTCATCTAGCCTCTCGGGGGTGATACTGCGGATCTGCCCCCGAGCCCCGGGGCCTTTCGCATTCTTGACATGGGGGGTGCACCGCGGGATGAGGGCGCTGAAGTGCCGCCGCCACGTTGCCTCAGGATCCTTCAAGTACGCTCGTCCAGACGATGCCCTCGCCAGCTGCTTCGTGGTCCTGCACCCCACGGCTCTGCCCCCAGCGGGGACATCGCGCGCCTCCAGGAAGGCAACCTCCAGGGCGGCGATCCACCGGGCGTAGGTAGAGTTGACCTCCGCGGCGACGCTCGGCACGCGCAGGTGGAAGACGCGCCCCCTGCCCTCCTCGGCGCCGCCGCGGCAACCCTCGAACTGCGGGCGCTCGCCCACGGTCTCGGTGGCCTTGTCCCAGGAGCCCTCTGGGATGATGAAGGGCGCGGGGCCCTCCTTGCTCGCGTCGGCGCGGCCGCGGTGGATGGGCTTCGAAATCGTCGCGCAGGCGCTTCGACAACCTTTCCCCCCTGGTTCTCAGCGCATCCGCGCGAGCCTTGGACCTGGCACTGTTTGGGTCAGCGACATGTTTGGGTCCGGCATGTGCGGGGAGGGCCCCGGGAACCTCGATAGATTTGCACGCCCACAGCCCGGCGCTGCCCGCCGTGATCTGGATGCCGCAGCGGGTCTCCCGGGAAATGTCGCAGACCGCCTGGGCGCCCAAGTGCGAGGCGATGTCTGAGCGCACGATGGCGCAGTCACACACGGAGCCCCTGCCCTTGTCGCGCGTCTCCGCGCACTCGGGGTCGGCGAAGGCGGCCCGTTCCACTTGGTCAGCCACGGCTCGTCGCCCCACCAGCGCGGCTCGAAGTTCCAGTCGGCCAGGGCGGCCCACGGGTCGGTAGGCATGTCCACGAAGGCAGAGATGGAGAATCACAGTTGGCGCCTCGATCGCGAAGCCCAGGGCGCAGGCGCGCCGACGCCACTGCGATGTTGCCGCTCCTGGCGTGGAGGACCGTCGGCGCGAAGCCCACGAACGGTCGCCTCTTGCGGCGCTCGACGCAGTACTCCCTGTAGCCCTCGAAGGCGGTGGCCGCGATGTCTCTCCTGGTGGAGAGCGTCTTGGGCCCCGGGCTCTCGCGGCGCGGCAGGCGCAGCAGCGGGCGCGGCTGGGGCGGCGGCTGGAGCTTGCACCCCAGGTCCCGCGCGAGGTTGAAGCTGCCCCTGCCCCCCTGCAGCTGAAGCAGGCCCAGCAGGAGCTGGCGCAGGAGCGGGAGCATCCGAGCCCGACTTCTTGCGCCCCTTGGCATGTCGAAGTTGCTCTCGGATGTGTTCCTATACATCGCTGAAGGCTTAGACTCGCTGGTCGAGCTCGGCTTTCCACTGCTCCATCTGGGTATTGGTGGCGCCGTCGCATGCGCTAAGGTCGCCCCACATTGCGCTGTCAATCGTGAAGGCGTCCTGGTGCCCACCAGCGGAGGCCCCTCGCGCGGCAACTCCAGCAAGTTTGGCACTGTGTTCGGCTTGAGCTTTGGCGCAAGCATTTTGTGCTTGAGCGAGGTCGAGGGCGCCTTGTTCCTGTCGGGCAACAGCATCGGCGCGTCACTGATTCGCCTCTTCAACGTCGTCGACCGTCTGCTGGGATTTTTCCCCCTATTAGTGAGGACGGGGGGCGCCGATTGAAGTGTCTGCTCAGCAGTGCGGTCAGGCGGCGGCTTCTCTGGCTGCTGGAGGGCGTCCTTGAAGTTGCCGACTAGTTCGGCATGCTTCGAGTGGGTGAGGAGGGTCTTGAGCGCATCGAAAATGGCTTCCTTGCTCGGCACCGCAGGTTGTGGTGTCTCTTTCTACGGCGGCGACTTCCGTCCTTGCCCTGCCCACACATCCAGTGGCTGCCGATGCTCAACATGGGATGGGGCCAAGGGCTTTCCGCACTGGAAGCATTCTGATTTCCCTTTCCACGTCCATCTGAAACAGCATTGCTTTCAGATCGCGTACTGGTACGCACGCCCAGGTTCACTACGTTGGCCGTCTGCGCGTCCACGTCGCTGTCTCGGGCTGTCGTAGATGGCAGCGGCGTCCCCGTCCGCAGCAGCGGCTCCACCACGGGTGGCGGCCATCGCACCTCTGCGTCCCAAGGAGCACTCGCGAGTGGCGCTAGAAGGGAGGAGTATGAAGTGGGCGGCAGCTCGCCCGTGTGGTTGCGGATGGCAATCTCGCTGAAAGCTGTGGGAGCCTACCCCAGACAGGCAATGAAGAGAAAACCATATTGGCCTTGAGCCAAAATAGCTACGGAGGAGGAGGGGGGGGGGGGGGAAAAGAGGAGGAGGGAGGAGGAGGAGGAGGAGGAGGAGGAAGGGAGGTGGGGGGGAGGACGAAGACGAGAACTCTTTTGACCTCTTGCCCAAGCACGAAGTGCACGAGGGCTCGGAGGCTGAGAGGGGGCGCCACGAGCGGAGAACTCATCGGTATCGGCGCCGTCGCGGTCTGGACTCCGAAGGGCGTCCCCGCGGACACGCGGCCGCACCGATACGCTCCGCGAGGTGCCTCCGCGAAGAGACGCCCCGTCTCCGCGGTATCCCGCGGAGTCGCGCCCGGGGCCCCGCCTGCGAGGCGGCGGATACGGACACGTGTGCTTCGCCCACGAGGCGGGGGGGGGGTGGGGGCAAAAGGGAGGGACGCCTCCGGTCGCGGCCTCGGTTCTGCGGGAGCCCGCCGGCGCCACCGCTCGGAGGTCTCCGCGGTCGAGCACGGCCCGGAGGGCCTGCGGCACTCTCCGGGCCGTGCCAAGGGCGGGGGCCCGCTGCGGGCAGCTGCAGCCGTCCCTCGGCCAGCAGTCCGACGCCGGGTGCCGCCCGTCCACCGCTGCACGCTGCACGCAGCGGGCTCACGAGGCGAGCAGGGAGCCAGGAACCTCTGCCGCCGCTGGCTGGAGGGGGAGCGCCAGACGCTCTGGGCGGAGGCAGCGGAGCGACGCCAGGCGGGGGGAGCGGACCAGGAGACACACCGAGCGCAGCACTGTCTCGACTTGGCCTCAAAGGGTCTCTGGTCGAAAAGCTGCGCGCCGCTGACGTCGGAGCCGCCCGTGTCCATCACGCGGGCCGCCCTGGACCAGATGGACCGAGCTGATGATTGGGGTAAGTTTCACGTCCTGCTGCATACGCACTCGCGACCCCCACCGAAAACTCCGAGGCGCCCCCAGGGAGACCAAGGCATGGCGCTGCAGCAGCACGGATGATCCGAAACGAGGGCGCCACCAGAAGGCACCCGTGGACAGTTCCGTTTACAGCCCACTTCGCTGAAGCAATGCCGGCACTGTTGAGTGGCTAACGACACTGCAGATGGCGCTCGCCTCCATTCTTGAGGTTGGCGTTCCCCGTTCCAGAGATCCGCCTCCTGGCCATCGCTCGGACGTCCATTTCCTGTGTCTGTTTCGTGCGTGGTTTTTTTCGCGAAATGATCAAGGATGTCCTCGCCGAAGGAAAAATTCACACGTTCGAGCGATGCCAAGCCTCTGCGGAAGAACGCGCTCCACGGGCGCTCGCCCGGGAAGCATCCCACGACGCGTCGGGACTGGGGGGAGGCTCCCAGGCCCTCCCGCCCTCCTCAAAGTCCCCTCCTCCCCCCCAAAGCCCGCTGCCGACAGACGACGGCAGCGGGCGCCGGCAAGCAGCGACCGACGACGAGGAGGAAGAGGACCAGGAAAAAGGCCGACGACGACGACGACGACGACGACGACGACGACAACCGACGACGACGACGACGACAACCGACGACCTGGACGACGACGGCGACGGCGACGACCCCCTCCCAAAGGAGGCGGGTTCGAACCTCCCTCTACCACACTCCCCGACGGCAACAGACGACGGCGCGAGCCAGCGAACGACGACCGACGACGACGACGACGACGACGACGATGACGACGACGACGACGACGACGACCAAGACGGACGACGACGACGACGACGACGACGACGACGACGACGACGGACGACGACGACGACGACGACGACGACGACGACGATGACGACGACGACGACGACGACGACGGACGACGACGACGACGACGACGACGACGACGACGACGACGACGACGACAATACGGTCGGACCTAGGACAGAAGAACATCCTTCAAGAACATGAGACCCTCCGCTTGCCAAAACACACTGAACATCCAAGGGTACCCTCCCCATGACGCGCAAGAACATCCAGCAAGCACGAAAAACATCAGGGCACCCTCCCCGAACCGACCTCGATCTTATACCGTGGTCCGACCGTAACAACAACAACAACAACAACAACAACAACAACAACAACAACAACAACAACAACAACAACAACAACAACAACAACAAGAAAAACCACAACCATGACGCAGGCGGCCAGATGGGCGGGCGGACCCTCACGGGCGGGGCTGGGCGGGAAATTTAAAGCTTAAGGAATCGTCGAAGTGGCACGCGAGGACCCCAGCTGCGGGTCCTGTCGGGCGGGCAAGACCCGAACGGACGGGTCGGGTCGGGCAGGAGGACCCTAACGGACGGGGTGCTGGCGGCACACAAGTCGGCTGCAAACAGTTCCGAGAAGCGCGGCAGGGTCATCCGGTGTCGGCATCACATTTGCCAGGTCTGCGAGGCGACAGGAGGTTATCCATCGAGCTTTGTTGCTCACAGGAGAGAGAGAGAGAGATAGGTGGGGCGGAACGTCCACAGGAAAGTCACAGATCCATCACAGGAAAGAGAGAGGAGGGCGAGGAGTAGAAGAGCACCACATTGCAGACAGACCCTGTCGGAGGTCGGCCTGGATGTCTTGTGTCGGCGCTGGAGACCCCCCGGCCCCGCAGCATCAGCCCCTCCGGCCCACATTGCCGGCGTAGGCTGCTACTCGACGGCCGCATTGGGGAGGCCTCTCGTCCGAGTGTCACGTCGACGGCACCACTCTCACGAGGCGCCTTACACACACACACACGGAGCTGCTCGCCTTGGCCCTCACATGGGCAAGCCCATTCGCCAGCGCGCTTTAGTTTGCCAATTCGGGGAAGCTCAAGCGCACTGGGGCGGCCTCACAGAACTTCACCTCGAACGGGCCTCGACAGTCAGTCAGTTAGGGTCCGACCAAACAGTGACCAGCCGACGAAAATGAGCTTAGCTTCGCGCGGAATGCCAAATGCAGCCGAAACGGAGGAATTCGAGATACCGCCAACATCGTCCGACCACCTGCAACTGCGACCACGAACAAAAACAGGCAATGAACAGGACCCAGACCTCCTGTGTCCTGATGCTTTCGATGCGCAAGCCCCAGAAAGAACTTTCGACTTCCATGAGGGACTGTTTACGTCCCGTGTTTCCCCAAACAGTGCTTGAACTTAGAGGCTCTTACTTGCTACTAAGGAAACTGGGCTTGCCTGTCGGTCTGTCTGCCATGTTGTCGCCTTCGACGCCCCGTCGCCGCCTCGTCGCCGCCCGTTTGGAGGGCGGGAGTTGGCAGGGCCCGCTGACCCTCCTTCCCTCCTCCTCCCATCCCCCCTCCTCCTCCTCCGCCTCGTCTCTTCCCCTCTCCTCCTCCCCTCTCCCCCTTCCCCTCCTTCTCCCCCCTTCCAAACGCTCTCCTCCCAACGCGCGGAGAGCGACGACGACGACGGCGACCACGACGACGCCGCCAACGACGACGACGACAACGACGACGACGACGACGACGACGGTCGCAGCCAGGCGGTCCTTGGCATCATCCTCGCCGCCGGCCGCCGCATCCGCCGGTGGCTCCTGCCGCGGCCCGCTGGCCGCGTCGTCGTCCCCGGCCCCGGGCGGTGGGGGCGGCGACGGGCCGTCCTTGGAAGGGGCGGAGGGCACTGCGGAGGGAGGGAGGCCCGCAGGTCCCGGCGCGTGGCCCACAGAAGCAATATGCGGGCGATCCTTTCGAAACCTGGCGAAAACTACCGATGCGCAACAAAGTGCGACGCCTGGATCTCAGGGTCCTCCTCCTCCTCCTCCTCCTCCTCCTCCTCCTCCTCCTCCTCCTCCTCCTCCTCCTCCTTCTCCTCCTCCTCCTCCTCCTCCTCCTCCAGCGCGTGCGCGGGAGGGCGCGCGCGCGGGAGGAGGCAGAGGAGGAGAAGGGAGGGGAAAGGGAACGACGGCGACGACGACGAAGACGCCGACGACGACGCAGCCCAGCAAGCACCCCCGCGGTCCGGCGGCGGCCTGGGCGCCTCCGTCGCGTCCGTGCCGTCCTGTCGTGCGCCAGCGGGCAGGGGTCGGCGCCCAGTCCCGAGGAGGCCTCCCCAGAGGCTTAGACTTTCCCTTATGAAAAGCAGGGTGCGAGCCCTGGGAGGGGCACTTCAATCCAGAAAATACCACGTGCACCGGGCGGGGGGAGTAACAACAATTAAGAAATGAGAGCTCAACAACAGCAGCAGCAGCAGCAGCAGCAGCGACATCAACATCACTATCACCTCAGCCTCATCATCGTCAGCATCATCATAATCATTTATCACCATCAAAACCATCACCACAATCATCATTATCATCACCACCTAGCCATTTTGGCTCAAGGCATCCTAGGCTCATGGCCTGCTGCTATTTCTTGTGCTGGGCCCCTCTCGCATGTGTGCCCTGCCGTCGCGCATGGCAAGCCAGATCTCCGATGAACCATTGTGCCCCCGAGAAGGTGACGAAAGGACAGAAAAGGAGTAGACAAGCAGCAGCCACCCAACAAAAATATTCTAAAGGAGTTCCCCACATAATGATGTTACTGGGCTAGCGGGATGAGGGGGTCACGAGACCGTGTAAATAGTGTGTGGTTCCGATACCCTCCTCGCTCTGGCGGGGCCTCCCTGGAGGTATGTGAGGGCTCGAAACCGTGTAAACAATGTGTGGTTCCGATACCCTTCTCGCTCTGGCGGGGCCTCCCTGGGGAGGTGAAGAGGGCACGAAACGGTATAAATAATGTCTGGTTCCGATACCCTCATCGCTCTGGCCTGGGGGGGGAGGGGCGCGAAACCATGAAAATCCTCGCTCTGGCGGGGCCTCCCTGGAGGTATGGGAGGGCTCGAAACCGTGTAAACAATGTGGTTTCGATACCCTCCTCGCTCTGGCGGGGCCTCCCTGGGGGGGTGGGAGGGGCACGAAACGGTATAAATAATGTGTGGTTCTGATACCCTCCTCGCTCTGGCATGGGGGGGGGAGGGGCGCGAAACCGTGTAAATCCTCCCTCTGGCGAGGCCTCCCTGGGGGGGCGAGGGGCACGAAACCGTGTAAATAATGTGTGGTTATGATACCCTCCTCGCTTTGGCGGGGCCTCCATGGGGGTGGGTGGGAGGCGCACGAAACCGTGTAACTAATGTGTGGTTCCGATAGCGTCCTCGCACAGGCAGGGCTTCCCTGGAAGGGTGGGAGGGGCACGAAACCGTGTAAATAATGTGTGGTTCTGATACCCTCCTCGCTTTGGCGGGGCCTCCCTGGGGGGGTGGGAGGCGCACGAAACCGTGTAAATAATATGTGGTTCCGGTAGCGTCCTCGCACAGGCAGGGCTTCCCTGGAGGGGTGGGAGGGGCACGAAACCGTGTAAATAATGTGTGGTTATGATACCCTGCTCGCTTTGGCGGGGCCTCCCTGGGGAGGGTGGGAGGCGCACGAAACCGTGTAAAAAATGTGTGGTTCCAATAGCGTCCTCGTTCTGGCGGAACCTCCCTGGAGGGGTAGGAGGGGCACGAAAACGTATGAACAATGTGTGGTTCCGATAGCGTCCTCACTCTGGCGGGGCCTCCCTGGGGTGGGAGAAGGCGGAATCAAACGTCTTCAGCTACGGCCATACCTATGAAAAAAAGAACATCCTTCAAAAACATGAGACCCTCCGCCAGCCAAACTGAAGAACATTCGAGGGTACCCTCCCCCAGGATGCACAAGAACATCCAACATACACGAAAAGCATTAGGACACCCTCCCCGAGCCGACCTCGATCTTATGCCTTGGTCCGACCGTGGGGTTGCTTCCGAGTTTGGTAGGGCCACACACCCCACCTCACAGCGCGCGCGCTCTGAACATCCCCCCGCCCCGATGCTGCTCTCCGGCGACCCCCTTCGCCCTCCCAACGACTCCAAGAGAGCCGACCGTAAGGGAGCAGTGGCAACACGCCCGCGGAGAGCTACACGGCGCACGGGAGAAGGCGAAGTAAAAACGTCTTCAGCTACGCGGCTGGTGAGTGCGACAAGGGTGAGTGGGAGCACGCGCAGGCGAGTGTGATGGGCGAGCAGCGGCAGCAAGATAAAACATGAGAAAAAGGCAAACGGTGGCGGCAGGCTCTAGACGGGGGTACCCAACACGAAACCGACGCCAGAACCGAAAATCATCCGCTACGTCACCAGTGAGATGAAACCGACGAGTAGTGACAGCAGGCACAAGATGAGCGCAAGAAAGCACGCCAAGTAACTAGGCCAGCTCTCACCTGGAGCTGAAGCGACCACGCACGCGGTACATGTTATAGGATCTGTTCAGCGCCTGGCTGCGAGCGGCAGCGGCAGCGCGGGTGGAGAGGTGTCTGGCGC